CCATCCATCCATCCATCCATCCATCCATCCATCCATCCATCCATCCATCCATCCATCCATCCATCCATCTCTTCTATCATCTATTCATCCATCCATCCATCCATCCATCCATCCATCCATCCATCCAAACACCCCTACTGGGAATACAGGGAATTGGAGTATCCTACACATTCAGAGACAATCTTGTTGGAAAAATAAATTTAAAGCCTCATTTTTTAGTTCTACATCGCTTTTGCAGTTCCTGCTCTTACATGCTGGTTTATAAAATGTCAGTTATTAAATTAAAAGTCACCTTTCTTATTGCTGCCACAGCTTTCTCTCTGAGTTTTCCTAACTTGCAATATTGCTTTCTCTCCAAATTGTATTAACCCAGGCTCCTGCTTTCTCTTGCAGTTTTTAAAATCAGCTGTCTCTCAGTGTTTTCTTTCCCTTGAAGTGTTTTTAAATTGCTTTTGCTCAGCATTTTCTTAACTTGCCTTCTCTTGGTGTTTTCTTAACCTTACTCCTGCTTTCCCTGAAGTGTTTTAAGCTGTTTTCTCTCAGCATTTTCTTAAGTTATCTTCTCTCAGCATTGTCTTAACTTGCCTTCTCTCGGCATTGACTTAATCTTACTCCTGCTTTCCCTTGAAGTGTTTTTAAGCTGCTTTCTCTCAGCATTTTTGTAACAGCAGCCCTTTTCTGCCCCTGCAGGGACCTCGCTGCCCGGAACTGCCTGGTAGGGGAAAACCATCTGGTGAAGGTGGCCGACTTTGGCCTAAGCAGATTGATGACGGGTGATACCTACACCGCCCATGCCGGGGCTAAGTTCCCTATCAAGTGGACCGCACCAGAAAGTCTCGCTTACAACAAATTCTCCATCAAATCTGACGTCTGGGGTAAGAGCTGAAAACCATCTTCAAGCAGCTGGATTAGGGCTACATAGATGTTTTTAAGCTGAAGGGGGCAGTTAATTTTGAAGTGCCACACCGGTGTGAGGGAGTGATCCCCTAAACTTGTACTGTTAAGATGGTTGCTCCTGATGAATTTTAATACTTGCTTCCTTTTGACCCATTGAAAAATACAATTTAATTTGGGGAGGAGAGGATAAATGTCTCCCCAAAGGCTTTGAGGGTCATGCCCGTTTAGCTTGAAGGAAGATATGAATGAATGAGCAGGTGGGTGAATGAATTCCTCTGACAGAAGAGAAGATCTGTAGCTCAGGGTTGAACTGTGGAGTCCTTGGTTCTCCCTGAGCTGGGTTGTTTTCTTACAGACATTTCATGACCTAGCTAGGTAACGCCTTCAGTCCTCGTGTGAAAACTGATCCTTTTCCTTAGCAATGACCAGAGAAAGAAAGCGCGGTCTGTCTGCACATAACATACACATGTGACCACTTAACTGAGGGCATTCCTAAGATTTGCACACAGTGTGCAAATGTGCCCAGATCAAATCAAATCAGTCTTTATCACGGTCATAGACCGGCATGCAAATATGCACAGCTTCGTTGAGCTGGTTATTTTTCCACCAAATGCTTTTTTCCAAGTTGATGCGGAAGGAGCAAATCTCACTCTTTTTCACTGACTGACATTCTTCTCAGCTCTGCAAACCCCCATCTCATCCTCCCTCGCGGTTTCCATCTTGCCCCCGCCTCTGTGCACACCAAAATCTGAGAAAGGACAGCTTTGTGTCCATTGCACGACCGTGCACGTATTTCTCTAATCCCAGGTGGGGTGAAAGGGAGCATCTGGCTTAGTCTTGACTTCTCTGAGTTTGGACTTCATTGTAACTTTAAAAAAAGCAACCTTCTTCTAGCAAAAGAACGTTCCTGCTGCTGTTTCATCTTTGGATTCCCTTCTCCTTTCTAACTTAACACCATATTTCTTCCCCATCTCCTGCTGCCTGGGGACAGAGGTCTAATAAAGAAATAGCTTGGAAATAGCCAGCCTGAAATGACCAGTAGTTATTCCTCTCATAATAGAAGATGAAGTTTCCTATTTTCAAGACCCGGCAGCTGCCTTCTCTTCAGTTAAGGGGCAGATGCATCAGGTTGCTGAGCCAAAGCAAGGGAGTATGTGGGGGGATTTGATATTTATCTAGGTGCCTTCAGGGATCCAAGAATGCCTTGTCCTTTTCCCAAGCCCTTGAAGGTTGTTTCAGTGAGATTGGCTTCAAAAGCATCATTTCTCTGTTCCTGCCACCTCTCTGTAAAAATGTTGGCCTGATTCATCGTTACGCTCTTATCCCATCTCTCAGCTGGGAGCTTGAAGCAGATAGCCAGCTAAGGAGGTCTTCCTTCATTCTGTCCTCTCAGGACCAACCTGGGGAGGCTGCGGGAGAACAACGAAAGTCCCCGTCAGCCCCACTAGGTAGACCAGACCAAGAAATCAACTCTGCAGGAAGGCCAAAACTACTTTAATTGAGATTGGCTGTAATAACAGAGTCTTGCAAGTCTGATTGTGCTGGACCTCCTCCCCTTCTTATACTCCTTTGAATTAGGGAGGTGTTGACCTGAACCGCTTACACATATTTCTACTTGTTTTGGACTTAAACTATGTTTTTCCCTTGTCACTTTGGTAATGAATCTCACCTAACTCCATCAAGGTCTTCTTCTTTTCTCTCTATACCAACTGATACCCAGGATCAAGTGGAGAGTTGAACCCAGGTCTCCCCAGTTCTTAGGCCAGCACTGTAATCCTCTAGTTTTATTGAAGCCACTCTGGGGAAAATGTGATTTGGGTGGGGTACTTGATGCTTCTCCACCATGACTTAGCCCTCTCTGGATCCATCTCCCAAAGTCACAGCTGCTGGGCGTCTTGCTTGGGCAATGATGGGAACTGTGAATGAACTTGGAGAGTTCATTCCTGGTCTTCAGGAAATGGAATGAAATGGATCACTTGTCAGCCCTACAAGGTAGACCAGACTAAGAAGCCAATGCCATATAGATCAGGACTACTTTTATTGTAATGGCTGTAGTAACAGAATCTTGTCATTCTGAATGTGCTCCCCCCTCACTCACTTTATCGCCATGTGAACTAGACAAGGACTTCTCTGAGATGTTTTCTCAAGTTACTGTCTTGGTTTGGGCTCAAGCCCCTCTTATCTGTCCATTGCCTTGGGAGCAGCTCCTCCTCCTATCCTTCAAGGCCGTTCCCTCTGCCCTCTACACCAGTGCACTACCCTCTACACCAGTTCACTACTCCCACCCCCTGCAATTTAAGGGAAGACTTAAATTGGTCTGTGGGTTCAGCGGGGTGAATTTAACATTATCCTCAGAATGTGAGGTGCCTGGTTAGATGGCAGGACATAGAATAACAAAGAGAAGCTGTCTTTTGTTTAAGCAACATGCAGCTGTCTTAGTGCAGAGGTGAAGGGATACAAGCTGGATTTCAAAGCTTTTCTTTTTAAGAAGAGAAAGACAAAGAATAAAACTAGAATTGGGGTGGCAGTGATTCTGGAATTAACCCCTTTTTCTGGGTTTCCATAATGCAGTCAACCAAGCAGGCAGGCTGACCCAACATGCCAAGATCGAAGCTAACTCAGTCCAGCTGGTTGGAGAAATCAGTTAGCTATCTGTTAAGTGTGCTGTATCAATCTGGCTGTGAAAAAGGAGGCTGTGGACTTTTGAAAATACTGCACTTAAAGACAAATTGCCACTTTCATCCCCAAAGCTGGTTGGGGATAATGTTGTAATGAGTAGTCTGGCAGACGTCAAGTTGGAGAAAGTGACCTGACAAACAGGAGATGGTTTCAGGGAAGGAGGTCCATGTCTTCGTCCTCATTGCCACAGTTCATCTCTCAGCCTTCATCTTGGCCATGCTGGGATCTTCTAGCTCTCCCTGTTGTGGATCTCAGAGGAAAAGATCCCTCCTCCTTTGCAGGAGACAGACCCAGAAGGGAGAGAGGAGATGGGAAGAGTAGAAGGGAATAACGCCGAGCTGCTCCCATTTGCAGAGAGACCCCCATCACTCACCAATCCAGTTTTCAATCCTCTCTCCCAGTGACATCTCTTAATGGTGCTTCTAGGAGCTCTGGAAAGAGCAAAAGTATTCAGGTTGCATGTAGGGAAATGAATGGAAAATTAGCTAACCCCGCCCTCTCTGGAGACTTATCCGGATTGAAGAAGAGACTTGTAACGCTTCCTTCGTGTCGGTAGCCTCTAGACATGGCCTCAAAGCAAGCAAGGAAGGAAAGGTTGGAGAATGCTTAGCTCCCACATCTCTCAATAGCTGTCACTACTCTAAGAAACACATTTACACATTTCCAGGTCATGCTAGCAGAGACAGCCTTGTCTTCTTCCAGCCTTCTGCTTCCAGCTCGCAAGATTAAAATTGATTGAGGGAAGGCAAGCGTAGTGCTGGAATTCAAATAGAGTTGCCCTCGGGGGCCCTCCACCTTCAGTAGTGACTAATGGAAAGCAAAAACCAGACTTGATCAGGGAGTCAAGCAGAGATGTGGTGGGCATCCTTCCATTTGTAGGTGCTGTTGATTATTTCAGTATTTGGTGATGCCTTCAGAAAAAGCAAAAAACACGTCTTCTGCTAGATTGTCCTTCTGACTCAACGTCCTCGATTCTCCCAGGGACATTGTAAGATTGGTAGCAAGAAAGCACGTCTTGGTTGGACACCTTCTGCATGCCAACAGAGCTGTAATGGTCTGCTCACTGCATTGAAAGCATTTGTTGATTTTCCCCTTCCACCCTCCCAGCTTTTGGCGTCTTGCTTTGGGAAATTGCCACCTATGGCATGTCCCCGTACCCTGGGATCGACCTATCGCAAGTGTATGAACTTTTGGAGAAGGATTATCGCATGGAACGCCCTGAAGGCTGTCCAGAAAAAGTCTATGAGCTCATGAGAGAATGTGAGTCTGTTCGTGGTTTACTTGGATCTTTTTTCTTTAAGGGGAAGCCATAATGCAGATCTCAGACTACACCGAGCATCATTTTTCTTCACCCCCCCCCAAACCCACAACTATTTTAGGTCAGCCCTTCAAGGTAGACCACACTAGGAAACCAAAGTCATGCACACTTTTATGATAAGGTTACAGTAACAGAATCTTGCAAGTCTGAATGCATTTCCCCCCTCCCCTCCCTTTATGTTTGTGAAAACTACGGTGGGCATTGTCCGACATGCTTCCTCAGGTTACAGTTCTAGCCCAAACTCCAATTTCTTTCATCTGACTGTTGTCTTCATTGCAGCTCTTCCTCCTGTTCCTTAAGATTATTCCTTCTGCCCATGACAGACAGACAGACGGACAGATAATGGGTGGGTGGGTGGATGGATGGATAGATAGATAGATAGATAGATAGATAGATAGATAGATAGATAGATAGATAGATAGATAGATAGAT